GATCGATTACAAGGCGCTCGGTCTCAGATACATCCTGTATGCATGTGAGGTAAGCAGTTTATTGTTTATCCACAATATATATTTTATATATATATCCCTCTCCACTCAGAGGGCCAGAAAAAGCCCAGCTGACTCTCAGCAGTCATAAAATAAGCAGCGGCATTTCCTATGCCTTGCAAAATTACTCACATTCCCTGAGATTTTTTGTTTGTTTGTTTGTTTGTTTTTTTATTGGGTCACACATAGTTACTATGACGATCAGCTCCATCGTCTAGGCCCCGGGCTACGAGAGATGTCTCAGACGTGATGTTATCTCCATAACCGTGACGCTGTTGTGGTCAAAAACAGTTTATTTAGATGCATATCGGTGAATAATTTAAAGAAAATAGTTACCTGTTAGACATTTGAAGCGATTTGCAGTTGATCGGTGAATCATGTTTGAGCATCAGAGTGTGCAGCTCCAATCCGCAATCCAGTGATTTGGAGCAGATGCCGGCTCTTCCCTGAAACTTAAGCAGAAGAAGTCGGTAAGCAGCGGATTCTGTTTTGAAATGAATTGCGTAATGTGCCAGGAAAACACATTTCGTCCAAATCCTCTCACCCCCTGATGACGTCACCTTGAGTAACTTCTGTGACCTGATTCAGGTTGAATCAGTGAGAAGTTTATGACTAGCAATGCTGAGAATCACACAAGTTTTTAATTCTTATATATGTATATTTATATATGTATATATATTTGTAGGAAAGAAAGTCCCAGTTATCCAGAAAGATGAGTTCTCATGCTACTAAAAAAAAAAAAAAACAAAACAAGTTGAAGTCTATAAAACTTCTGAAATGAATCTCAAACTTTGCCGAGATTTCTGGCAGAAATCCACTCGTCCTTTTCTTTCCGCTGCCTCCACCGTCGCTGGTTGTACCGCCATCAACGTAAAGGGTTTCGAAATAAAAGAGGCGAGCTTCTTGCCTGGCGTATGACGTTGATAGTCTTGTTGCTGCAGGTTCTCCACAATATAGCTCTGGCCGAGGCTCGGCTGGGCAACTGGGAAAAAGCCCAGAAAAGCCTGGCGAAGGCCCTCGACTACAAAACAGAGGCCAAGCTCAGCGTCATCGACAAAGCTTTGCAGGCAACTCTGGTCAGTCATCATGTTTCCGAATCACACGTATTAAAACCGATGGAATCTTTGAAATGGCTTTCTTTTCCAATCGCAGAAGCAGAAGCTTTTCAAACTAGTCGAGTTCCCTTCAAAGACTCTGTTCAAACCGAACAAGCACTACGTGGCAGAGCTGGAGAAGAAGGACTATCTGGGCAAAGCCAAGGTATTACAACACGGCTGAGGAACAAACGTCCGGTCACTTCTGCTTTTTGGGGGAATTAGTGCAGATGACTCGTCTATGTGCGGCAGTCGCCCAGGTCCTTTTTGTTAACAATGATTCAGTGGGGAAATACTTTGAATTTCGTTTGTTTTAAACCCTCAGGTTGTTGCCTCCGTCGTTCCACAAGACGAGTTCTCTGGATTTGCCCCCCTGCAGCCGCAGGTGAGACGTGAGTTCACGAGAGACAGGAAAGATCCTGAACAAATTGCACTAGAAATCCAAACTTTACCTACGTATATGGTAGGTTTGGGTCGATGCGAGACTGTCTCTTTATACAAGCATCCAGTGAAAAACAAAAACGACTCCCAATAAAGCAAAAATGTGTCATAGTTTTGTAAAATATATGAATTACTAACGTTATACTTTTTTTTCACATATTAACTTTTAATTTCTATTGTGCTGTGAGTCACAGCAGCCTGATGTGATTATATAGATCGCTAGGCAACCCTGGGTTATGTGCTGGAAAAGATGGCGGTGGGGGGGAGGAGAGTTCACAACTTTCCAACTGCAAGCCAAACAGGAAGTGTTAATCACTTAAATAAAAACCTGATGAAATTAGATAGTTTGTTTTGGTGACTTTCTGGGTTTTTTATTTTTATTTTTTTGGCTGATAAAAATGTGACATTAGAATATGACGGCAGATGAATAAAAACCATTTGACATTCTGAACCGTCCTCTGTTCTGACTGAAGGTTGAAGACGGTCCTGCTGCTCCAAAAGAACCAGAGGTCCTGAGGTATGCGGCACACACTGGAGCGCTACAGTACCCGAAAACACACTGTGGAATACAAGTCACAAGACATGATTCCTCAGAACATCATGCTTTCTGAATGCTGGCAAATTCAGAAGAATAATCATTTGTTCATAAGGTGTCTGCAAACTTCACCAGTTCAAATTTAAGGCTTTTTAAGACCTTCGATGCCACCTTGAATTATGTTTAAGACCACCTCCAGTCACAGAATGCAATGAAGACGTTTGACTACCAAACGTTTTGCGTGACCAAAAAGTTTCATGAGAAAAATCCAAAAAAATCACATTAAAAATTGTCGCCACAAAAAAAATGTAATCCCTATTTAAGGCCTTACTGAAGTGAAAAACAAATGTAAGATAATTTAAGCCCTCATTTCAGATGCAAGTTTAAGACTTTTTAAGTCGACACCCTGCTTTACACTTATTGCCATGTAAGTAATGTGAGCAAAACCAACACACAGAACAGTGCTCTGTAACATCGGATGGCTCTGTGTTTTCTCCATGTTGCTGTTTTGGCAGAGCGTTGGAAGGGGAGGCGCACACCGTGCTGTTTGAGTTCGTTCCAGAGACCAGCGATGAGCTGGCCGTAGTGCCGGGCAACATTGTGTTTGTGTTGCAGAAAGGGGCCGACAACTGGGCCTATGTGGTCTTCAATGAACGGGTGAGACCTCAGGCATGCAGTCGGTGCTCAGAATAGACGCTAGTACTGATTTCTTGTTCCTTCCTTTTTTTTTTAATGCCTAGATACAGGGTATGCAAGTCAAAATCAAGACATTTTAAGATATTTTTAATGTCACCTTAAATCTAGATTTAAAACAAACAATATATATATATCACCCTATGGGCACTGCTGGTAAAGATGTGTAAAGGTTAATCAAGCACAATAAATTGTGCTTGTAAAAACCTGAATGTTACTGAAGACAAGTGAACATGCCCTTTAATCATGATAGATGACTATCATCCACCCATGCGAGCAAAATATTTACAAGGCTTTTGCAGACATCTTTACTGGCGATTCCTGTGGGAAGCACTGTAGCACTTGATGATAATTCAGCTTAATTGATAAATAATAATTCAGTTTGATGTCCATTGCAGAAGGGACTCGTTCCGTACAACTACCTGGAGCCCACCATGGATATCTCCCTGGATTCTAAAAAAATCAAGGTGTTTATATGAATCATTTCTTATGCTGTTTGCACCCCTCCCCCACCCCCGTTTGACACATTTCGACTAACTTGCTCGTCTTCAAATGTCATTCGTCCAAATTGAAATTTCTGAGAACTCAGTCTTGCTGTGATTTTCACTTTTCTGCATTTTTGATGGCAATCAACAGGGTGTGGCGAGACTTCACAGTCGAGACGTTCCGAGGACACCGGAGAGGATTCAAGGTATGACATTTTTTTGATCAAGCAAACAGTTTAAAATCCTCTTTTGATAGAGATGTAAAAACATCTTCTTCTTCATTCTGTACCTGGAAGGTCTTAGTCCTGGCAGCAGCAGGAACACTCTGCAGCAGGTACGCTGATGCTGACCTGTCCAGTACTACAATGATTCCATTGAGATGTTTTAATGTGCACATTTCTACTCGATTGCTGCCCGATCTCACAGCTAGAGGAGAGTTCTTGTTTTGTCAAAATCCGCTTCACCTTCAACTTTGCTGTGTTGGTGCCGTCTGGGTCTTCTTACGTGGTTCTGATAGAGAAAATCAGTAAGAAGCTGAATCTCAACTCCACTGCGATCACCTTGAGGTACAAGCGCTGTTTAAACCGTCGTCTGTTTTACTTTGTAAAACTCGCATGAAACAATGTGGGGGGTTATTTTTCCCCAGCTCGGATTCTCGAGGGAAAAATCTCATTGATAACAACACAGAGATGGAAGACGTGTGGAGTCGTGCTCAGGGTGGGCGCATCACCTTATGGTGTACCACCAAAGAGGTAAGGTGGTGGTTCACTTTTCTGTGACTCATGACTAGGGCTGCACCGATTCATCGGAACCAATGTCCTTCGTTTTGGGTGATCAGCAGACAGAAGTGAAAAAGACTTTAACCACCATCTGCGAGATTCTGAAAACCAACCTCTACCTGGGCAACTCCATGTACCACTGTCTAATTGGTCAAGCACCATATTTGGTGATACGTTTGAGTGGTAAATGTGTAACTTTTCAGAAGGAAAAAAATAATTCATATTGGCAGGTCAGACTTTTTAAAGATCGGTGATCGTCCAGAAAAGTGCAATCCGTGCAGAACTTAATCTCACATGTTCGTTTCCAATCAATATTTTATAAAAGAGCATGAGCAGTTTCATTTTTACTTGTGTAGAGAATGCTAACAGAGAGATCCAGCACATTTCAAATGACAAAAAAATATATATATATACCAGACTCAAATCTCTGGAGTTCTCCGTCCTCAACATTCACTTGAAAACATTTTAAAGTTCACCGAGAATATAGCAGAAACTTCTCCAGCTTTTTACATGACATTCTAAATTCAGACAAGGAAAAAAAACTGACTAGATTCTTCAGTCATTCTGAAGTTTTGACTTAAAAAAACAGCAAAAAAAAAAACAAGTGCGTTTTGTAATTGCAGCAAAGTGATGGAAAGCCACAGAAGGAGGTTTACTTGGTGGCGCTTCACTCCTACGACTCTTCGAACCCAGAAGACTTGAGCTTCCAGGAAGGAGATAAAATCAAATTGCTCTCCAAAGGTGAGTTTCAAATCATTTCAACATGTTGCAAAATCCGTCATATGAAATAATATATGCTCTGTCTCTCTTTTTCTCTTTGTAGTGAACCAGGACTGGTTGGAAGGGCAGTGTAATGGGAACACTGGTATATTTCCTGCATCATTTGCAGAAGAAGCTCCTGTGGATGGACAATAACTTCATGCAAACTGAAATTTGTATTTTCAATTGTACACAAGGCAGAAAATAAGAAATAATTGTAATCCGTGATTTGAGTTACATTCAGGTATTCATTAAATATTGCTGAACTATAAAGTGATGCTGGGTGATATTTCCCAAAAATCACAAACATTTGTCTCCTAGTAATATATTTGTATGGATTTATGCGGAGTCCATTCGAAAATCAATAAATCGTGGCATCGTCAAGACGCTCCTTCGTCTTCATAGGCGATGGCTATGCCTCTCCTGCCCTGCACTGCCTTTCCTACAGGAGTTTCCCCCAGCTTCTGCTCCAGGCCTCGCCAGCTTCGACCTGCCAGGAAAGACGCTGGAAAACAACAATAGGAGCGCATTCACAAGACTGTAGATAATCCACTGTGTCAAATGTTTGAATATGCTGTTAAAAAAAGAAAAAAAAGAAGAAGCAATAAATAAGTATCCTGGATGTCTCTGACTGTTCTGTACCTGCTGAGTTCACGTCGGCGACAGTCGTATTCTGGTTCCTCAGCACCACAGAAGACCCGAAGGAGGAGTCCGCGGGCTCACGGCTCGGCAGGCTCCGACTCCGCAGCTCTCCGGTTATCAACGACACGTCGGTTTCGTCGTCGCCTTCCTGCTGATCGGCCATCGGCACGTGACTCTGTCCACCTGACCCAAGGATAAAAAACAAAGAAAAAAACACGTTGTTAAAGGATAGACATGGGAGACGTGAAATGATGTTTGCGATTTTATTTTTTTTACATCCTGGTAGAAACTTAATCTGCAGCAGAGACGAATCAGAATGCCGATAAAGAGGGAACGTTGACGTTCCTTCGGTAATGGGAGACCTCTCGATATCGTTTCTGTTAAAGCCGTCGACTTTACTGCAAAATGTGATCAGCGCGTCGTCTTCTTTTTTTCTAAATCAAATACTTTGATTTAGAAAAATACTTTGATTTAGATACTGATACTGGTTTACAGCCAGTATCAGGAGCATTTTGTAAAAAATATTACAAAATGCATCTTCAATGCGTTAATTTTGATTAATTACCGTACATAAATTTTAATGAGTTGCAAAATTTGAACAAAATCACATTTATGTTTTTTATTCATTAATTTCCTTTTATTTTTGATCTAATCTGCGGTTAAATAACCTCAATAACAAATTAAAAACAATAAATACATGTTGCACTTATGTCTATAACTTGGCAGCAAAAAGGAATTTCGAGTTGAAAGTGTTGCCGATATACTTAATTAAAATACAATTAAGTAAATTTTTTAAATTGAGTTCCAGCACAAATAAAGTTGATTATGAATTTATAGCATATATTTCAGACTTTACATCATGAACACAGAGGTATACAGCAACACCAAGGATGAGACTCGCATTGCGACATTTCTTTTTTCGGACGACTGTCACGTAATTAATGAGAACATTTGACATGAACTGACTTGACTGATGTTTGGATGAATGGACAGATTGAGGTAGTCAGCCACACCCGTGTTTCATCCACATTGGAATGTTTTTCCCTGTTATGGCCCAATCAGTGCATTTCTCCATCATGCACTGATGGAGAATTATATTAGTTCCCCTTTAGTGGATGTTTGGCGTCTAATGTTACAAGGCATGGATGGACAAAGTTATGGATGGATGGCAGCATACTGACCTCAAAGTGCGTTGGACTTTGACGGATGTATGAAAGATTGGATGGATTAACAACTAAGTGCATATTTTATGGTTCCTGACATAATGCACAGAAAGACTATCTATGAAAGGAGAAGGATGAACTTCAAGAAATTCATATTATATCACATTGCCAAGTGGAATTGGAAATAAAAAATATTTTTTATACTAAGATCTGGAGAGGCTACACTCTTCCGGACATTTCAGGACTACATCGTAACCCTTGTGTAGAAGTTAATCTGATTAAATCTACCAAACAACCCATTGTCTCTTTTTAGATTCCACATAATTAGTCCATAAACCGCAATCAAACCTGGAAGAAGATGTCGAAAATCCGTGACGTATTCCTCAGACCACTCCCTCTTCCTGTTGCACGCCACCTCCATCTCGAACGGCGTCACCACGGGCTTGTAGAACTCGCTGGAGTCTAGCAGCGAGTTCTCGGGACACGCGATTAGCACGAAGATGTCGATCTCCAGAAAGTTCGCCAGTTTGGGAACGTTGAGCTTCCCCATTGCAAACATGTAGCTCTTCTTGCCGGCTCTGTGAAGAGTCTCTTTGAGTTGCTGGATGATGGAGAGGTAGTCGGCCACACCCAGGGTGCCAACAAGGATGCCAACCACGTTGGCGTCTTTGGCCCTTTCGATGGCATAGTAGCGTTTCATGAGAGCACGGTTGACGTTCACAGACTCAGGCCTTCCCGTCATCGATACAGGATCGAAAGAACAAAATAAGCTGCGATTCCAGGTCATCATGAAGTTTCGTAACGTGGCTCCCTCCTGGCCTACGTAGAACATATGGTAATCCGTTAGAGATGAGCCACTTTTTAAGGAGAACCATCGTCCGAATTGACAAATGGTCTGGCTGTTGTCATCCTCAGATGGACGGGTTTCGACGTCGATCGGTCCATGACTGTAACAGTTATCCCCTTCAACAGCAAGCTCAGTGACTACAAGGTTTGGATACTCTGGTGAGAGGAGCGTCAAAAGATCACCTGGAGAAGAGAAAAAGATGAAGAAATTTACAAAAGGAAGAGAAATTGAAGCAAGAAATGAATGTTTTCCTGGGACAACTTGCCGATAGCGTGATCGTAGTTTACGTCAAAAAGGAGGAGGATGTGTGTCTGTGTGTCCGCGTAAAGGTCCCTGAAAGAGGCGGCGCACTTCTCCACATCCAGGGTCCGTTTCTCAAAGACGTACATGACAGGAAGCCGTTTGGACGGGCTGAGGCAGGCGTTGCCGTAGTGAATGATGCAGTCGGCTCCAACGTGTTCTGCTGCTACCTCGTCAACACAGCAGCTGCTCAGTCAGAACAAAGGGAACCACATTGGTTAATTTCAGACCGGAAATTATTTCATCCAACTTAAGTTGGAAAAAAACGACAACCAAAACAGAAGGTCTGTAATACAGATTTTAATTACATTAATTACATACAGTCCCTCCAGTTCTTCACCCAGAACTTAATTTGTCTATGCTAATGCATTTCTGTTAATATCTCACAAATTTTTCTGAAAAATTGTTGACATTTGTTTTAAGTGACTGCAAACTCCCACCTGCAGGTGACAGTATTTCTTACTTTGACTACACTGCTGCCTCAACCTTTATTGATATCAAGTTTTAGTGTATAGTCTATGTGGCCCCAATTAAAAATATTATTTAAGTTCCATGCAGAATAAAATTGATGTCCAATCAGACTGTTTGATGTTGTTTTCCATGATCTTGTTTTACTAGATGTGGACTTTTGAAGCGCTTTAGTGAGGAAATATCATTAAAAAATGTATTGGATATAGTTCTAAAAATAAAAAAAGTGCCACAAAATCCGGGGTTTTGTTTGCAAAACAATTCCAAAGAGAAGTTGAACAAGTCACAGTACCTGCCATAGGAGGTGTCTCCCAGAATAAAGGTTTTGGCTCCACTGGTCGTCTCAATCTCTGCAGCCACAGCGGCCGAGTCGACCAGCAGCTCATCGGGAAACTGCAGAGCAACCTAGGAAAACAAAAAGCAAAGCAAATAAACCACACGGGAACCACAATTATCCACCTTCCATCCGCTGTTCAAAATGCTACCTTTCGGAAGTGGCGCTCGCCGATGAACGCGCATGTCTTCGTGATCTGAAACGACTCGACGAGTTTTTCAGCAGGAGTGTTTTCCCTCAGACTAACGTCAACCACGCGCTGAATCGCGGTCTCCGAGCTGCTACTGAACGCATCAGCCATGGCAGTGAGCTACAAATGTCTTCGAGACGTAACTGGACGTCAATAATGTGAAAACAAAACTAGCCAGGACGATCTAACACTGTAGCGAAAAAAGTCTGTCATATTTCACTGTAACAATTATACAAATTAAATTGTTACAAGCTGCTTATTTCCACGTCGCATGTCACTTCCAGCGAAGTGTCACGTTGGGAGTTTTGCTAGTCTTTACATGCTTGTCGGAAACGTAAACACGTGTCCAGCACAACGGAAGGGAGAGGTGGGAGCACTTCCGGTTCACGTGCTTTTCAAAATAAAACCCAAACCTTTCTCGCGCTTTAAACCAGCAGTGGGAAGTTGTAGCAAGTCACCCGAGGACCAATTAATATGAACCAATCTGACTAATAAAGCCATAAAATAAATAAAGCCGTGTTTATTTGTGCAAACACATGTAAAATTATCGAAATATTGCTTTCCAAGCTCTGCCAGACTTGACAAAAAAAAGTATTTATACAAATTTTCGACAACTCATGTGCTGATTTCAAGTAGGTGTGGTCGATTGCAACTTTATTTTAATTAAATAAACATAATCTGAAAATTAATTCAATGGACATTGAATAGACATTAGTGATATAACATGTAAAGCATGAAAAACATGTGCAGGGTACAAAAATATACTTACTATTTTAAAATGATTCAATTAAACTTTTGGCTTTGTTGAGAGAACTTTGTTGAGAACTTTTTTTAAACCCTTTTCATATTTTTTCTTCACACATCACACTGAAGTTCAATTCAATTATAATTTGGTGTTTGAAAAGTAAAAAAAAAAAAAAAATTAGCAATATTCAGATCAATCATCAAATAGGATGAAATATTTCATAAAGCATAAAGGAGCCAAAGTTTGTTCAAATTTTAAATCATGGCTTCTATTAAGTAAAATTAAATTATGGGATCTGAAATGACTCAGAGAAATTCGCATTGATCTCTCTTGTTTCTAGAACTGACAGAAACCAAATTATGGATTTATTAGCAGAGAGAATATATATTTTACATATCCAAACATTAGCATCTCAGCTTGAAGCCACATTATATAGAATCCAATCATAACTCGATTCATCAACCAGACCCAAAAAAGGTTTTGCGTCTTTATTATTTCCTATATTAAAGACACATTATATTATAATTTATTGAATAAGACTGTCTGGCATTCACATGTAAGTTTTGGCTTTATTCTTTGCACTAGAAAAGTAAAGACCTTCCAGTGACTGTGGGTGCATCAGCCATTGTGCATCAGCAATGAGGTCATTTAAGGAGTGTGTACTAGATAGGTTATTATTTGGATCTCTAAACAGTCAGTGAGTGAGACACAGACACACCAATTAGCCTAATCAATTTTCCCCCCGAAGGTAGGACAAACCGGATCACCTGGAGAAAACCTATGCATTTATTTTGAAGAGTGTTTCCATTTAATTACATCAACAATGTGTCTCTACTTTTATGGTTGAACTGAAGGGGAGATTGTTTAATGGTTACCACAGTACAAAAGAAAAACTTTAGTAATTTGTGCCTGTTTTTGTGTTTTTCTATTGTCTGAAACTATAAATAGTTTCATTAATAGTAATTAAATCTCATGCAGGGGGCCGTAGATAATTCATTTGTGGGTCGGATCCGTTTTGCGGCTGAAAATGCATAAACTGAAAATGCATCATTGCAAGTTCAGAGTCCATGATTTGCACAGTCAGCCCAACAGAAGAAACCTTCATTGAGGCGAATAAGGTGATGGACAAAGACATCTGGAGTGACAAACACAACTGACATGTCTCACACATTCACATCCCAAATTGGGCCCGCAAATTAATAAGCTGTGGCCCGCAGGATGACATCAAATTACTATTAGTAACCGGCCCGCAGGCCGCAGTGGTCATGTTCACTGAGGTCATGTGTGTCACTGATGTCAGCAACGCGTTACATGTTCAGTGACGCGTCACTGACGTCAGCAAAACGTTACATGTTCAGTGACGTGTTGTGACATCAGCAACGCGTTACATGTTCAGTGACGTGTCAGTGACGTCAGCAACACGTTACATGTTCAGTGACGTCAGCAACGCGTTGCATGTTCAGTGATGTGTTGTGACGTCAGCAACGCGTTGCACGTTCAGTGACGTATTGTGACGTCAGCAACACGTTACATGTTCAGTGACGTCAGCAACGCGTTGCATGTTCAGTGATGTGTTGTGACGTCAGCAAAACGTTACATGTTCAGTGACGTCAGCAACGCGTTGCATGTTGAGTGACGTGTTGTGACATCAGCAACGCGTTGCATGTTCAGTGACGTGTTGTGACGTCAGCAACGCGTTGCATGTTCAGTGACGTGTTGTGACGTCAGCAACGCGTTGCATGTTCAGTGACGTCAGCAACGCGTTGCACGTTCAGTGACGTGTTGTGACATCAGCAACGCATTGCATGTTCAGTGACGTCAGCAACGCGTTGCACGTTCAGTGACGTGTTGTGACATCAGCAACGCATTGCATGTTCAGTGACGTCAGCAACACGTTGCATGTTCAGTGACGTGTTGTGACATCAGCAACGCGTTGCATGTTCAGTGACGTCAGCAACGCATTGCATGTTCAGTGACGTGTTGTGACATCAGCAACGTGTTGCATGTTCAGTGACGCGTCACTGACATCAGCAACACGTTACATGTTCAGTGACCTGTTGTGACGTCAGCAACGCGTTGCATGTTCAGTGACGTGTCACTGACGTCATTATTCTCTTAATGTACAGAACATGAAGTTTGTTTTTGTCTGTTTGCCTGTTGAAAAATGGTTGCACTTGAAATTACTGACAGATTCATAAGAAAATATTGCTGTATTCATAATATACACTGTGTTAGGTCTTGGTTCAGCAGGCTTTGTGCAATCATTTCAACATATTTTGATAATCGTAGAACCAGCACGGCCCTCGGCTTGAAGAAGATTTGGTTTCTTTGGCCCTTGGTGTATTTGACTTTGACGTCCCTGAATTGACCTAATCACTGTTTTTCCCAAAGGTAGGACAAACCAGAGCACCTGGAGAAAACCTATGCATTTATGTTAAAGACTGTGTCCATTTAAAGAGTGTCTTTAACAGTTAGTGAGCAAAAGGCAAAAGGTCAATTTAACCCTTTAACAACCACACCAAGAAAAAAACCCGTGAAAATTTTTTTCTTTGCATTTCTTTTACCCTTGGGTGACTCAAAAACACAATCAATATTTTTTTTTCAACAGACCCTGTGGTTTTTAAAATATTGATCTCTACCAAACGGTTGAGATGTCACTTAAAGGTTTAAGTACATTATGTAATAAAAATACCTAGTACAGTAGATAAAATAAAATAAAATGCAAATTTATAAAGAAATTAACAACAACAAAATGTCTGGGGAATTGGATACAGTTTATGTTTGTCAAAATGCTACACAACACTGGTTTTAATTTCAACACAGGAAAACATTGCATCGAACAAGAAAATATTGCATTTTTAGTTTTCCCATCTTGATTGTATCTGTACTAAAGTGCAACAGTTTTTCAGTGTTTCACTGTTGAAAAGGGCATGATCCCATAGGCTTTACTAAGCAAGTTGACCCATTTGTTATCCAACCACTTCACTGGAAGAACCCCTTCAGCAGCCCTAAAATCACAGACCCCACACCCTCTTTGAATCAGGACTTTGTCATCAATGGAGCTCCACCAGTGCAGTTCGGTCATACGGTGCCGATGCACTTGACGCCAAGGGCAGTGTGCAGGTACTGAACCAAGTTGAAACTTGTAAAGAAGTTGTCACAAAAGACAACAGACATCCGGGGGTCTTTTATCGTTTTGCAGAGTGTTGGCACCACTTTTGCTCCCAACGGAAGAAATTATTACAAAAATTATTTTGTAAGATGACGTTATACAGCAAGAAGGTCCTGGGTTCGATTCCCGGCCCGGGGTCTTTCTGCACGGAGTTTGCATGTTCTCCCTGTGCATGCTGGGTTCTCTCCGGGTTCTCCGGCTTCCTCCCACAGTCCAAAAACATGACTGTCAGGTTGATTGGGCTTTCCAGATTCTCCTTAGGTGTGAATGTGTGTGTGCATGGTTGTTTCTCCTGTTTGTCTTTGTGTTGCCCTGCGACAGACTGGCGACCTGTCCAGGGTGAACCCCGCCTCTCGCCCGGAACGCAGCTGGAGATAGGCACCAGCACCTCCCGACCCCGTTAGGGAGAAGGGTGGCCAGAAAATGGATGGATGGATGATGTTATAATTATTCTTAGTGTATAACATTGTAATAACACTTATTGTTTCCTATTTACACCAATAGATGAAAATGACTTTTGATTTTATAGCAAAAAAAAAAAAAAGTTAACTAAATTACCTTGATTTGCTACATTTACCATCAAGTGACAAATCAACCGTTTGGTCAAGCATATTTTGAAAAAATTATTAAACCTCTAATTTAGCTTTTTAGGTGGTATCAAGTAACATAATTTTGTTTAGTAAGGTCTATAACACTATCATATGCCAGAAAACTATTCCTGTCTTTCAAAGTTTTACCACAACCAATTAATCTTTGTGACAGATTTTTTGTGTTTCTGACTTCCTGGTTGGAGAGGGGAAGAAGAAGAATACTATTTAAAGAAACAGAGCCCTGTAGTTGATTTCTTTAGCATATCATACCTCAACCAAGCGGCAGAGATGGCTCAATCAGGTTAAGCTAAGTTAGGCACTCCTCATATGGAGATACAGAGACCCAAAATGTGCTAAACCATATGGTTGAGCGGGCAGTTAAAGGGCTAAGACATCAATCAGCCTAATCACTTTTTTTCCCTAAAAGGTAGGCAAACCGGATCACCCGGAAAAACCTTTCTTATTTCATTTAAAGAGTGTCTTTAACAGTTAGTGAGCAAGAGGCAAAAGGTCAATTTAAGACATCAATCAGCCTAGTCACTTTTTTTCCCTAAAAGGTAGGCAAACCGGATCACCCGGAAAAACCTTTCTTATTTCATTTAAAGAGTGTCTTTAACAGTTAGTGAGCAAGAGGCAAAAGGTCAATTTAAGACATCAATCAACCTAATCACTTTTTTTCCCTAAAAGGTAGGCAAACCGGATCACCCGGAAAAACCTTTCTTATTTCATTTAAAGAGTGTCTTTAACAGTTAGTGAGCAAGAGGCAAAAGGTCAATTTAAGACATCAATCAACCTAATCACTTTTTTTCCCTAAAAGGTAGGCAAACCGGATCACCCGGAAGAAAACCTTCTTATTCCCATTTAAAGAGTGTGCTGTAGAAAGAAACACAACCGTCAGTACAGGAAGGGATGCAAGTTATCAATTGATGAGTCAATCTAAAGTTGATTAGATCAAAACAGCATGTTTTGCTCACAAATGCACCTCATAATATTTTTTTGCCTCTAACCTTTAATGAGAGAGCTTCGTGCTTCTCTTCAGCTGTGGTACGCCTGCAGGGTGGACCGCTGTCCTTTCTCTGCTCGGGTTCACTGATATAAAGCCTCCTGCCTGCCGGTTTAAATGGTGGCCTTTCAGGCTTTTTTGTGGTAGGGGGCACTGGGTTAACTTGTTTTGACTTGTCTTGTTCTGTGAGGTGCTCTTCTTTAAAATCTGGCAGTAACTTGGCTTCCCCCAGAGGCAAAGTTCTTCTACAATGACTTGACTGCGTTTCGGGCGTCTGGAGGTTTGATTCTCCATCGGGTGGTTGAAAACCGACTTGCTCATCGTTGGTTTGTGCTTCAAGTTCGCTTTCATTTTCAGGTCCTTCCGCTGCAATATCATGTTCTGCCTTAGCCTCTTTGCTCTGTATGAATTCTTTCAAATTCCTATATTTCAGCTTGTTTTCTGAGAGCTTTGCTTTTGCCTTAAGCAGTTGTTCGGTGATTTCCTGAATGTGTTCTTGATCCTTCTCCCTGTTTTCAGTTAGTGTCTTTATCTCACATTTTAAGGATTTCATTTCTCTCTCCAGCACAAAACTTTTCTTCACAACCACGGCCTCTCGCTGTTGTTGTAAGGCTAACAGCTTGAAGTTAATCTCAGACTGCTCCGCCAAGAGCTTACGCACCTTGCGGTCTTCTTCTAATAACATGTCGTCGTATAACTTGAGCTTTGCCGCAGTCTCGTACTTGATTTGATCTTCTTCCGCTTTTGAACTTTTTGAAAGTTTTCCCAAAAGAATTTCATTTTCCTTCTCTACCTCTTCCAACTGCTTTTCCAGAACACCTATCCTGTCCTGGAGACGTTCGGACTTGTGCTTTTCTCTTGATATTTTTTCAATCTTTTGGGAAAGCTCAGACTCAAGTCTCTTCACTTCTTTTTGAAGCCTTTCAGTCGTCGCTTGGTCTGCTGTGCTGGTAGACACCACTTGGGCTTTTTCTTTCAAAATCTTGTTCACCTGGACTTGTGAGTTACTCTCCAGACTTTTTAAAGAGGCTTTAAGCTGCTTGACTTTCTGTTTGTAGTGCTTCACCTCAGACAACAACTGATTCTTTTGGGAACTCTCGTTCTCCAGCTCTTGTTTCATCTGTGGGATCTTCTGACGCTCCAGGCTCCGGTTTAGTCTGAGAGCCGAGTTTAGCTCTTTGCTGAGGGCATCAATTTTCTCCTTTAGAACCTCATTTTTCTCATGTGCCGACTTCAACTCTTTCTCCAGTGCGGCCTCTTTACTGTGCTTTTTAGGTTTCTCTTTCAACCTTTGAAAGCAATCCAGAACCACGATAATCAGGTCATCTTTAGTCAGTTGTTTCATTTGGGATATTGTTAAAAACTCTGTTTGAGCTGGCGCCATTTTGACCGTCCAACCAATGTGTCACAAAAGCTACGAAAAAAACGCAACGTTAAATCCAACGTCCGAGCCGAGTGAGACTTCTTGAGTTCTGCAAGTTTGATTCAGATGCAGTTTATTCCAAGCCTCTGTCCCTCATGACATCATAACACACTTTCTGGAAAGTGTGTTATGATGTCATCACACACAGCATCATCAGAGTCCATCAGTGGAAGTACTTGATGTATGCCATGTTGCTAGGCAACAGCAAAGCCAGCTCACTTTCCATCATATTCCTGGGAGGCTTTCTGTGGAAACGATTATGGGTCTTACTTCCGGCGATCACCGGAAGTGGCGGCATTTCACTGTAATCTATTGGGTTTTCTGCTAATCTATATTCATGATAGAAGTCACATCTCTCTTTTCGGTTATTGTGCAATGTTTAGTAAAACCGCCAACTGCTCAGAAAACAACAGAAGTACATAATATTAGCTCGATGTGATGTGATTTAGATTTTCCATTTGGATTTTAAAAGTAATGAAGTTCATGATGTGAATCTTTATCATTATGTTTGGGCCAGAAATAAATTTCTACAATACAAAATAATATATCTGGGTTCATTTAGTCCATCAGAAGCAGAGCTTCGAGGTTCTCCGTTGTAGAGTGTCGCTGCAAATCAGTGGAGAAATAACCGCTCCAGATTGTAATCCGGAGAACCTCCACACTGGGCCAGAACCGAATCCCACATTAATCTGTCATAGAGACTAAGTTGCCACTAGAAAGTGCCGTAAGATGCTCCTGTGGCACTCAGGTAATTGTTGAGCTATTGGTGGCTGTTCTCTAATAATTAGACCAAAAAGACACAGTTTCTGTGTTAAGCGGTGCTTTTCATCTCCTTGTGACAGATGAGGAAACTCAAAGAATTTGGCTTAAACTTCTAAACTCAAAAAGGGAACCCAAAGAGAGCTTTATGTGCTCGTTTCATTGTATGTATGCTAACATTGAGTGAAATAAGTGAAATCTTTTTATTCAACATTATAAACAAAAAAGCTCCTTGAATAGAAAAGAAAAAGAAAACTCAGTTAAACTGATTACCATAAAATGATATTCAGTAAGTTAGAAATAGAAACCTTCGGATGAAGAGTTGGATCAGGCTAATAAAGCCATGAAGTTGGTTTTTTTGCGCGTTTATTTGTGCAAAAAGTGAATAATTATTGAAATATTGCTTTCAAAGCTCTGCCAGACTTGACAAAAAATATATATATTTATACATAATTTCGACACCACCGGAGCTGATTTTAAGTAAGTTTGGTTGATTGCAATTAAATTTTAATTAAACATAATCTGAAAATTAATTAAAACATGTTATTAACTGAAACCAAAAACAATATAACATGTACAGCATGATATGCATATAAACATGTGCAAGGTACAAAAATACACACTTTTAAAATGATTCGATTAAACAATTGGCTTTGTTGAAAATTAATTTTTTTAAAAATGAAATAAAAATACAATTGCTAATATGCACCTACTCATAATAATACATTTATAATCGTCAAAAGGTTTTACTGATGACCAGATGAGATTCACTAAAACAAGATAATGACGTTACTGAGAGTTAATCACAACTTTCAGTACATCATAACATCATTTGAGTCCTTTTTGTCGTCTTGAGTGTGCAGAGGAAATACGCTGACATTATGAATAAATACTGGTAGGAAATAAATGTTATGAAATGCATCCATTACCTTAGAAAAACTAAAAACCATTGTAAGAAATGCACAACTGTTTTTTACAGGTAGGGAATGCAAAGTATCTGTGAAAGAGAGAAATACTGTATGATTAACTGAAACCAAAAAGCAGAAAAATAAGATCTGATTTTTTTTTCTCAGACGCCAGAATGTTTGGATTGTCCGTAAATAAAAAAAGAATAATGGGAATGAAATTGAGATTCATCACGAAATAGCTGCTCTTCCGCTGTTACAAGTTCACTGTCGGCGCCGTTGCAGTCGTCGTTAACTTCCTCTCACATCCAAATTCGGTAAAAACCCAAAATCACAGTGAGGCAGGTGAACACTGAACCTGGAGGATGAAGACAAATGGGAAGAAGTCGTTATTAAAGTGCAAGGAAAAGCATGAAGAAGGCAGTGTCTGATTACATTTACAACAGTTTTTCTGCTTGTATCTCTCAAGACTGCTGGACTGAAACAGATTTGAGAAAATTAGCCATTTAATTGGAATAATTCCTTTATTGAAAAAATATTAAGTGGATTATTTCCCCAATGGCCCCAAATGGGTTCCTTACATTTAAGCACTTATGAATACTATAGTGTATTAGGACCACTGTTTGAAAAAAAAAACAGTCTTTTTTTGGCCAAAAACACTCAGAAATTTTCTAGAAAAAAAACAAAAGCAGGAAAATTTCAGAGTTTCAAAAAAAATTTTAAATTGCCTTTTGAAACTAAAAAAATTTCCTTGTTTTTTCTAGAAAATTTCCAAGATTAATCTCAGACATTTTCAACTTTCCCAAATCACAAATGTCCTTGTTTTCTCTTGAAAATTGAAAATAATTGCAAACTTTCTGAAGTTTTTTTTTGTTTTATATTTTTAGTGTTGAAAGATTCCAAAGCACATTTTTTCTAACTCCAATAAATGACAATTTCTCACCAGCGAGATATTTGATGGTGTCCAGTTTATGAGACTCCAGCATGGTTTTCAGACCAGCTACTTCTGTGTCTATTTTCATGTTGATTTGGGTTAGATGGCGATCCTGCTCTGCCGTCTGCACAAAAATGCAAGTGAAACAAATACAACAAATAATATATATTTTTTTAAATCTGCATGTTTATAGCATTTTAAAATGTATACAAACCATTTCCAGAATTTCAGTTCTTGTTTCCAGAAGCTTCTTTTCATGTTCTGCTTTCTGGAAATAAGAACATTTTAGGTTAAATGTTTTAATGTTGCCATAACTAGGTTAAATAAATGGGTACTTAAGACTTTTGCCAAATACAGAAAGTAATGCTGGAGCAGAGAGTAGGCTCTGAGAATCAGGATTAAGTTATATTAACCCAATTTTTAAGCCTAAAACTCATAAATTCAAACTTAGAAAGCAGAATTCCTGGTCTCCATTGGTACAAAAAAGAAAAAAAAAATAGCAGTAAAACTAATGTTCAGCCACCATATGTAAATTTCAAGCTTTAACCACAAATATGCCATTGATGTTGAAATCCAGCCCAGGTTTTCAAATCTGTTTTTAACTGGCAACAAATGTCGTGTTTACAAGACATTTGTCCTGTAAACACAAAACACAAAACCGGAGCTAAACTGGATAAAAGAAATTATACTGCGAAAGGTCAAATTAAACTTTATGTATTAGTGAAAAAAGCAATTTCATTAAAAGAATTTCATAAAACCTTAATAACCGAGAGCCAATGAAATATTTACATCAATAAATAAACCCAGTGATATCTCTATCAGTGATGAGGAAAACACAGCTGTAACTTTTCAAAAATATTTTCTTATGCAATAAACATAGTAAGTTCCTTCAAAGGGGCAGATTTGGAGAGGAAATCATCCAAATCACCTGCAAATCTGTGTAGAAGTGGATAACTGACTGAAATCAGCATTTTCGGACTTTTTTTTTTTTCTTCCAGAGAGCCAAGAGTGTTTAGTGCAACTGCACTGAAGTTGATCCAGTGTTGTAAAGATCCTCAGGCTATTGAGCCATTATTACCATATCTAGTATAGATCTAAATCCTTTAGAGAAATTTGTCTGAATCCGGCTGTAAAACTCACCAGCTCTTTTGCGCGGCTTTTCTCCAAATTCAAGTCCAAAATATTATCCGAGCGTACTTTGTTCATCACATCCTGCCAGGAGGAAGGCGAGGCGGAAAACAGGGAACCCGACAGGGGAAAATAATACTGAGTTTTAATTAAAAAGGACTAAATTAAAAGCATTTACTTTACACGGTCTCTATGAAGGTATTGATAAAATGACAGATTTAAAAAGAAAATACAGAAAAGCACTCACAGCCAATTGGATTTTGAGCTGGAATAACTGGATCTTGAGTTTCTGAGAAATGGCAAAAGAAAATAAATAAATAAATACCGAACGCTCCACAGACATTTAGATTAATATCTACAAAAAAAGCAAGATAAGCTTTGGTTCATGTTCTAAACCAGCTGGTTTGAACACAAAGTAAGGTCACAATCGCTTTCTACCTCATTTTCAGTGAGAAGAGTGAAGAACTCGCTCTTCTCAAGGATAATCATGTCCTTTTTTACAGCTGCTATTTTAGACATTACTTGCTGCAACATGATTTCCTGCAAAAAAAAACAAACACAAAAATACACAGAACAATTAAAAAACGACTTGAGATAAGATTTGATTGTCGTTGGTGCACAAGGCAGTGGAATAAAATTTAGTTGGAATCATACTGTATTTAACGTATGTTTAACATAAACAGTCATGATAAAATTGTAAAAATAAACACAATGATGAGTGGGGGGGGGGGGGGAGTGAGTCGAAGACTTATTGCAGGGGTGTTCAAAGTGCAGGCCGAGGGCCACATGTGGCCCTTGAAACGACTTTGGGTGGCCCTTGATCAGAATTCAAGAATAGCCTAAATTTGGATTTGCCAGTTCAGGCAGTGGATACAGATTTAAAAATGACGTTAGGATGCATGAAGCCTCTCAAAAAAAAAAAAAAAAGACAAATTACATTACTAAAATGGAAAATCAAAGTTTTTTGTGCTTTTAATTTTTTTGTAAAAACAACCATTTTTACTCAAATTCAGACTTGAGCATCTTAATAAACTATTCACAATGAAGCAAGAGTGATCCATATACTGTTCTGGTTGCTAAAAAGACTAACAAAAGCTGTAGAAAAATATGATCTACCTGAAAAAATTAGAATACAGTTTGTTGTTCTTCTTATTATTATTATTCTTTTATCTGGCAAACCCATAAAAGATTTTGTGTCGATCACTTCCCTGGAGGAATGTGACCGCCATCATGTTTAGTTCCAGGTAAAAATGAAAACATAAGTTTTTGCAATTATTATCAAAAACAAAAATACTATAAAGTTTGTGATGCCCAGAGTTCTTTCAGCTTGACTTTTCTGGCCAAAACATTTGGACACCTGTTCATGTAGTGCTTACTAAATGAAAACCACAAATATGGCGAGCATAATTGTTCTGATAGGGTCTCACCTGTTGCACTTTGGTCACCATGTCAGTATAAACCAAATCCATGTTGGAGTTTGTCGTCCCGATCAGCACTTTAACCAACACTTCAGCTTGCTGAGTGCTGAATCCTAACATTATACATATACATATATATGTATATATAAGGGGAAATTACAGTTTTTGAAAAAAACAACAACAATTCAACACTTCAAAAAGATGCAAGTTGCATGTTTCGCAAGATCCGAACAAACCGTTTTCCTCGAGGAGTCGCACAACCGCGTGAGTGTCAAAAAACAGCTTGCGGCCTTCGGCTTTTGGTATGTCTGGTTTCAGGTCGTATTGGAAGACCCTGGAGGAGGTATTCAGTTCTGTAGGGAAAAAAAAAACAAAAAACAAATATCAAAAAATATTATATTTATATATAACATCCAGCTGGGTACAGGAGCAGATGAATATTTAAATTTGATTCCGTTTTGGAAATTGATACACTGTTGCACAAACAGACCTGGAATGGGAGCAATAAATTTGTGTTGTGGAAACAGAATGTGTTATGTGGGTATGGGTTGATATTAAAACAGCAAAAAGGTGCTGACTAATAGATACAAAATGGATAACCTCGGAAAAACACGTCTTTCAAACTCTTTATATCATAAAGCCGTCAATGTGACCTCAAGTGTCCTACAGAGCTTTTATTTTGAAAAACCTTCAGTTGGCGTTCAAAGCTTTTCAAACAAAGTGAAACTTCCGTGTTAGGAGTTTCAGTGTCCAGAGTAGGTTTAATACTGCACGTGAATAAACTCAGTGACCGGCAGAAGCGAGCAGCGTTACCTCGCACGAACATGTTTCTCAGGGCAGAGAAACCCGCGACCTTCAGTCCCGGAGCTCCTCTCCATGTCAATGGCTGCGGCTCACAGTCAGACGGAGGTGGAGCGGTGATGACTGACTCGCGGCCAGCCGCCAGACTAGACAGAACCGGTGAAATGCTCGGTACCGGTGCTGCTGCGCACCTGCCAGCGACGTCCTGGATTAGAGAGGGGTCAAAGCGCCTCTGTGATTGGTTCAGACGGACGCGCTTCAGCAGCAGCCCAGGCTGCTGTTTCAGCCCCATGGCCAAAGTTTGCGTCGTTGTGGAGAAAGTCCTTCCCAAGGCCGAACCTCCCGTCTGTTACAAATCTCCCAAGTGTTGCTATGGCCTTTTCGTGTTGTCATCACCGAGTTTCAGCCAGTAAATGAGCCATTGTTAATCAAGTTTGGCGAGATGACCATGCACTTCCTGTCTCGCCTGTCAAAATAAAGCGCACGAAGACGTTTGAAATGGCATTTTGTATGGTTACACAGGTATTTTAAAATTATGCCACTTTTCCCAATATCCCAAACACTAAAAAAAGATATATTTATACTTATGTGGACCACCTATATTTCATATCTAAATATGTAGTAATTCCTGTGCTTACAGAAGGCGGATGCATAAAGAACATCAGGAAAACAAGATCACTAAGCCTAGAAAGACATGAACACAAAATCTCTCCAGAGGTTCCACTTCTGCAGATAAATTGCCAAAAGTATTTACTAAACTATTTGTCTAATCTGTTTTCATTGTACACCATGAGAATATTGAAAATGTAGTTAATTTCAAAGGTGGGGACTGAGAAGTGACACCTAAAATTCTTCAAAATTACCCAAATCGGAGCTTTCACAATACGGCAAAATAGATTGGATATTCTATTGTACATTTTTCCTGTATATATCAAGCATTAGCAGTCATTTGAATCAAAGAGACATATTTGCCCTTACCCATAATTGTTACTAATTTGTCTAGGGCTGCAAAGCCTACACAATGACAATAACTGGCAAATTAAAAATAATACATTAAATAAAATTCAATGAACAATATTTACACTGTTTTCCTTCATTTCTTTCTCTGACAGAGTCCTGTTGCATGTTCCCAGTGCTAGTACAAAAATGTAAGGATTCATAAATGTTAAACAATCTGGTGTTGGTGGTGCACTTGCTGGGCCAACTGGTCTGGATTAAAACAAAATTAAGTGGCCAGGAGAATTATCTATAGCAGAATGATCTTATTATTTGCTTTAATGAAACCTCATTTCAAACGTAGATCTTATTAAATTGGGATAAACAACAAAGACAACAACAAAAAAAATGACAACAGGGTTTTGTCAAACTTTATATTTTTATAATCCACAGTAAATGTATTTATGTCATTGCATTCGTTTAGTTTAGAGTGCTGCTTATATACAAAAAAGATAAATTATTACATCCTCTACCAAGCATAAGCACCTACGTACTTACATTGGCAATCAAAAAAAAAAGTTGCAAGTCATTCTAGCTTCTTTTTTTTCCTCAAATCATTAAGCAAAATGTACAGAATTGTTAGCTTTTCTGTCTCACCTTTTTACATTTAACAGAGAAAAACTCAGCCTTGGCTCCAGTTTCCTTTGAAAGTAAGGACTTGGACCTGGGAATGATATCCCAGCAAACTGCACCGCGGCTCAGAGAGGAGCTGGGAAATCTGTGGGATTTGCTCTTCGGTTTATTGTCAACTACTCGGAGCAACGCAGGCTGTCGATCATGTGCTTCTCTTCATTTAATGTGCTCAAAACGTGGAAAGGACATGTTTGGAAAAAATAGACTTCCACAGCTCCATGTGCACCAAAGGTTTTAACGAGACGCAAACTGTCAAAAGCTCTTATTGATAACTGGCTTATTTACGCAATTGTCACAAATACACACATCTGTGGAAGATACGTTTCATTTGTAGCTGTTAGAGACAAACAAATTCAGATTATAACAGAAAATCAAACGATGTGCTTGATTTTGTTTTCAGCTCGAAAACCACTGTGTCTAACTTGAGATCAAATAGGATGTGGTTTTAGTAACAAGGCTAACAGTTATTGGCCTTGCATGCTAACAATAATAGATTTAATTTTGGCCCAAGGGGAATATTTTTACAAAAAAAAGAAAAGAAAAAATGTGACAATATATATGTGTTATTGATTTAACAAGTTACTGGAGCAGCCATATTGGATGCTATGTTGAGGGTCGTTCAGGGTCGTTCAGGGACGTCCCACTTCAGGAGACAGTCTAGTTGATTTTTCCAACCTGTTACTGATAAATTCAGATAGCAGAGAACAACAGGGAAATTTCATCATCTGTGCTATACTCAATTTCAGATTATGAATCAAGTGCTAAGTGGCATAAGCTATTTTAAAATCAAAAAAGCATTTAGTTAGATTTAGTGTAAACAATTTGTATGCTAGCTTGCATCTGGATTAAGTCTGGTGCACTGTTTAAACCTTCAGAAAAAGATGAATGATTGAAATTTCTTAAGGTCTTGCTCACGAGAAAAAGAAAATACAGAGAGATAAAGTGACCGCTACAAAAAAAACACCAAGCAGCAGTAAGAGCACAAATATTTGGCTCCGCTGGCACAGGGGATGAGATGTGGGGGCCTGCTGCTCCTCGTCTACGGACAGCAGAGCCATGGAGGCGCTGTCAGTGCTGCTGAGGGGGTCTGCGTACAGCGGCCCTTGGGGCTCCACCATCCAACGCAGCACGTTGACTTTCATCTCCATGTCGTCGATCATGCGGTCAATTTGACTGATCTCGAGCTCCATGGTGCTGCGCTCCTGGCTCTCGAGGCCCGCAGGGAGGGAATCCGTCTGAACCTGGTTCAGGTCGGGGAAACTCAAGGCCCGGGCCGCTACATCACTGCATCCTCCTGCGGGGCAAAGGTCAACAATCTGTGCTTTAACTTCAGTTTACAGTTGTTTTTAACATCAAAACTATGGAGAGGTTTTATAAGAACAAATAGTTGTTCTTACAACTACTTGTTGATCATGTTGTTTTACTCCGAAATCCCAGCTTCCTGCTGTAACCAAGGCAGCATCGAAATTAAAGCGCCAACTTGAAACTTTCACTTTAACAACCTCACTCTCTAATGGTGTTAACACATCTAAAATTTTGGTCTTAGATGATTTGGTACTGTGGATCTCAAAAAGTGAGTGTGAAGTAAATAAATTCTCTGTTTCGAGTGGTTTCTCATACATGCAAAACAAGTCTGAGAAAGTGACGCGTTCCGATTATGACCTACCTTCCAGGCCAGTGTGCACAAGTGATGCCGAGTCGGCCAGCGAGACAATGCTGCTGATGTTCAAAACTTTGCACATGTCAACGTGCAGCAGCTCCAGGCAGGCAGAGAAGGCCACCCAGAGGAGCTCCATCTCCTTGCGTTGTCCATCGGGCAGGCTCTTGTCCCGGAGATGTGAGGTCAGGTGCTGGCAGATGTCCCCGGCCAACTTTTGGGCCTTTTCTCTCGTTTGCCTCAATTCGTCGCGGAGCTGCAGGCTGTCTGTGCACCCACCCACGCATGAGGCTAAGTGCCGGTAGCAAGCCACAACCTGAGAAAGAGAGAAAGAAAAAGAGGGATTTGTATAATCAATTCAATTCAATTTGAATTTGCATAATCAAAGACAGCACATAAAACAATATTACATGTTAAAAACAGAGCAACCGTTGCTGCAAACCCAGTCTTTGGTTGCACCTTTTCTTAAAAGACAACAAAATTAAAGATTCCTGTCACACCACACACACACATGATTTTGGGCCCCACAAAGACACAGGGTCCCCGATCGTGGTGGGCTCCCGTGGCTCGGACCCTTTATGACAACAAAAACAAGCACAGACACACACACATACACACAGGTGCTGAATTTCAGCAATTATAAACAAGACAAAAAAATCAAATTAGAGAAAATTTATTCTCCACAGAAAAGTATGTCAGTATACATTAGTGTTCATATATTTGTTTTTGGTTTAGATATTGTTTCACCTGGGAATTAACAATTCAAACAGCCGCCATGTTCAGACGTGTCTTGAAGAAGTAAAACTATAATACGTATCATAAAAAATTTGGACTTGTAAAGGCAACAATTCATTGACAAAAAAAATGGTTAAGTGAATTTTCAAGGATTTGGGTATTCTGGAAGAAAAAAAAGCACAATTTGTCCAGTCTGATATTCATCGTACAGTTCGTGGGTTTTATAAAGAACCATTGGCTTAACCTCAGGCGATTAGCAGCCATGGTTTCATTCATTAAAAATATTAGATATAATCTCATTATCGTGGATCTATTTCTAGATAAGCCAAAACAACCTTGTGGACCAGAGTACAAGAGGCCCCACTTGTTTTATTGTGATGCAACACGATAACTCCTTATTTATACAATTCATTTTTGTTCAACTTAACCGCTAAAGTATGTTACGTGAAATATAGTGACATATGAATGCATGGTCCAATCAGACATGGCAGTACCCAGAGAAAAAGTCAGTTTATGTAACATGTTTTAAAATGAAATTTGACATTGTGTATATTTTTTTACATATTGGGTGTCATGACGGCGGTCTCAGCACCAATACATTTATTTCATTAAGTGGGAAGATACGAAATCGTTATTTAAATGTGCTTAAACTTAAAAGCAATAGACAGAACTCCAAGAAAATGTTTAGACACAAAAAAAAAAAACAGGAAGAAAAAAATTTGGAATACTTGATACTAAGTGTGGCAGAATTGCATGGCAGGACCATGACATTAGCTAATAGAGGAGCCACAGAGATGCACTGGAGCAGGGGATTCTTTTCAAAGAGAGTGCTCTTTCAGCTGCAGGGATATTTATATAGGCTGCATTTTTTTCCTGTTTTTGTGTATGTTCATGTCTGGGCATAGTGAGAGAGTGAGGATGGATTTAAAATAGCAAATCATGTTGACTTTTTCTGTTTGTTTGTTTGTTTTTTACACATATTTCCATTCTTTTTGAAGGGCTATGTATTAAGATCAAACATCTTTTTTAAAAAATTAATGAAAAAACATTTAAAATAAAGAAGAAAAATAAAAATAATTCACAAAGACTTCATTACTTCTGGCAGAGCCTGAAGTAATGAAGTCGCAGCATCAACTCCACACATAAAAACCCTGCGTGAATGAAACAGCCTTACCTTTATCAGCGAGTCCACCAGCGCCTTCCCGTCGGCCGGAGCCTCGTCTCCGCTCGCCGCGCAATCATCGCCCACTTTGTTATTTACCAGTGGCATGGGGAGGACTCGCGCAGAGTCTCGGACTCTGCCGCAGCAAGGCGAGATGTCGGCACACACCCCACCCCGCACCCCGCGCCGCCCTTCACTACTCCAGCTGCCCCGGCTCCTCTTCTCTCCCTGGAAGACGCTTCATTCAGCGCCCGAGAGCCCGGACGCGCTCGGTCCCGAGGCGAAGCGCGCTGCGCAGCGAAGCACCCCCATCTGCGGATACGGCGCAAATGCGCGCGCTGAACATGCTTTGGGAAGTGAATGCAATAAAGAGAAAAATCCCACACACACAAAATTAATAATAATAATAATAATAAAGTATATTAAACTGATGCGACTCTTAAGCGAGATGCTAATCCAGTGATTGACCCCTTTGCACTGACGCAGGGCTAAGACGGACTGCTAATCTCATTAAGCATCACCGAGAGACAGGAGAGCAGCTGGCGGCCTGAGCCGCGACGGTCCTTTCACTGACCGAGGCGGCGCGGCTCCCTCACCTCCCTGCAAGGCTGCGCCTCCTTCACTCCTCTGTAAAGGTCAACGCGCTGCACTCCACGGCTGCGGTTCGGAGTGCAGCGCGTCTGCTGTGAAGAAATAGAAATAAGAGTGCAGTGAAACAATAAGTGGTGGTGGTAGTTGTAACTTCTGGACATTTCCATCTTTGGTTATCCAGGGCAGACTTTAGAGAGGGCTTGCAAGGGCCCAAGGTCCCAATTTTAAATTTTTTTTTATGAATTCGTTCTGGAAACTAATTTATACAAAGCATATCTGCACAAATTGGTTGTATTAGTACTTTTGGAATTTTGTATGAATACAAACAATATTCAAGTCTTTGAAAACTGTAAAGTTACCAGACTTTGGTCACGACATGGAGTTACTGCCTACCTGTTGACATACCTGCTACTAATTACTGTAATATGCACTATTAAAATACATTTTCCCCCAGTGGATTGGGCACCAAAACTGGATCCAACCCAGGGCACCAAATCCCAATAAGCCAGCCCCCATTACATTAGGATCCAGTAAAACACAGCTCTGTCCAAAGTGACGCTGCATTCCAGTTGTACTCAGAACTGGGAAACTACAAGAAGCCCCTAAAAAGTGAGGTTTACTTTTAAACTAGAAAGCTGGTCTGATGTTAAAGCTATGCTGGAAGTTCCCACTCCCATCTGCGTTTTAATTTCATGCAGATGGACAGGGAGCAAGACCTTTGTGTGGGGAAAGCAGTCAATGATTACAATGTCAAGAAATGGGAGGGGGGGGGATCATCTTCATTTAATAACATTTTATTAACAAAAAATACAATATGTCTGGAAATTAATTCCATTCGAAACCTTCTGGAGGAATTTTCAGTTCAAGAAACTCAGACATTTTGCAGAGTTAAGTCATTAAAATAAGTTTAAAAACACCTATGCAAAGCACAGACGGTGGGATGTTCAGCACTTGGAATTCCTGGGGGTTTTCGTGAGGCTGTAGCTGGACGCGCCCCTCCTGGGGGATGAAACTGCCTCCTTGATGTTGGCCAGTAGGCCTCGCCTGCTCCTGGTCTTGAGTTGCACTGGAGACTTCTGGGCGAGCTTCTCGATTTCAGCCTTAAGCGAGGCGATCTCCTCGTCCTTTTCAGCATTCTGACACCGGGCTTTTCCCATGGATTTGGACTGTTGCGACACAGCACAAAACATTCACACTTAAGAGACGACCGCAACTGTGGGAAGTTGCTGAACTCTCCGTCCGTGACGGCGACGTCGCCTCACCTGTTCGTCGACGGTCTTCCGCAGAGCCTCCGCCTCGGCCGACTTCTCCAGAAAATCATCCCGGAGGTGGTGCAGAGTTTGGTTAAGATCCACCAACCTTTTCTCCAATTGTAAAATGAACTGAAGACCAAACATCTGCGTCATTATGCGTTTAAGCCCTCTCCCCGAGTGAGCGGTTCGGACACCGTTACCTGTTTGTTATCCTCACACATTTTCTCAAGGACGCCGTTTTCTTGGCAGAGACTTTTGATTCGATCATCTGTGCGGGCAAAAAAATTATAATTAAGTAATTCAACGTCAACGCATCTCGAGATCTCAGAATGGGAGAGAGGAAACTTTTTACCCGTTTCTCCTGGGTCTGCTGACGGTTCCGTCTGACACCACTGATCCACACTCGGCAGTGGAGAAACGCGACTTCCTCTCCTGGACAGCAAGTCCTCCAACTCAGACACTTTACGTCTGAGCACCTACCACCCCAAAAAATGCAATTACGCACACATTATATATATATATATATATATATATATATATATATTCTTCAGACTTTTTGTTTGGATCACTTCTACAAAGTTCTTTCAGTGTGAATTTCTGTACACCTCTCTTTTCAAATTTGCTGAGAAAAGAAAACTGACCTCGGCTTTCTCCTGTTCAGCAGTGAACTCGTCGAGTGGCACATAGTTATCCTCCAGGTTGCTCATTGCGCTCTGATAAGCGTGCTCCTTGATCGCATCTTTGTACATCTCAAACGTGTTCTCTAGTTTTTCTGCATAACTCTCTTTCAGCTCCTCAACCTGCCGGCTTCATGGGTAAAAACAAAAAATAATCATAATAATAAATTCCCTTCATACAACAATGGCTTGTTAAATTGAACCACCCATGTTGAATCTAAACAGCACTGAGCATACATGCGGAGTTCTTCGCCCTCCAGGAGCTGCTGCAACATGGCGTCCCCCATTTCTTTTCGGATTTCCACTTCTTGGACCAGGTTCTTCCTTCGCTCGGACAGAAATTTAATTCGGAGGTTTTCAATTATGTTCACGAGCTCCTTCAAAAGAGAATCCCATGCAGACGAGAGTTTGCATTAGAGCCACAAACATTAAGAATATCTGATAACCGAAGTAAGCTAGTTGTTGGCTTTACATTTTGTGGCAGCAAAGACATGTCCAGATCGTCCTCTTCCTCAAACAGCTCGTCTTCGGACGGGTGGCCCTCCAGAACGTCATTCCTCATCAGTAGCTTCCCATCCCCACCAACCAGACCAGGGACTGAAGGCTCTGCAGGTTTGTCTGGAATCACCTGAACCACCTGGGGGAAAAACTGCTCTGGTTGCATAAAGTCTCATTTGAAATGGGAATGACCTTGGTCTCCACTTGCCTGTTTGGCGACGGCAGAGAACTTCAAAACATGGAGGGTCTCGTCATAAGTGGACGCGCACTGGTTGATGTTGACGATCATCGTGGCTCTACCTTTGCCGCAGAAGAAAGCCTGGAAGAGCTTGGTGAGTTTGCTTTCTCGGAACGGAACGTAGGCAGCCTTCGTTCTTGACGCCGGGAACACAAAGTTGTCCGAGTTAGATAAAAAGCACGTCATTTGGCAACCGGCTTCTAACTCCTTTTACCTGTCAGCCTGACCACTACGGAGAGCGCTGATGCATTTTCCCAAAATAAGGAGGGAATTGTTGATATTCCCAGCCTCCTTCAGCCGCTCTCCGAATGTCTTCGCTTTGTTGCATCTTTCCGAACCAGCCAGGTCGCAGAGAGAGAACCTGGGAGAGTCATTCACCAAAAATATATTTTGCATTTTTCATGTCGAGAGATGTCCTGATCTGATATCAATATTGGAAATCAGACTGAGTATTGGATTGTATAGGAAAAATAAGTAGCCAGGAGAATTGCAAAATTAATAAGCTGTACAAATAGTCACTAATAATGTGCTACATACCAAACTAAATTTGGCCATTTTTGTATGTTGAATGGAAAAACAAAACAAAAAACAACAACAACAAAAAAACTGTTTTCTAGAAAACAAAGAATTAGCTCAAATCAAAGAAAATGAACAGCCTCTGGTTGAGACTCGTCTGCTTCACTTACTCAGAAATCCTTTCCACCGTTTGTCCATCAATCTTCAGCAACTTCATGGTAAATATACTGTGACTAAAAAAACAAAAAAAACAACAAAAAAAAAAACATGCAGACCTCAATAATTCCAACAAAATAGATGAAAAGCTCAATAGTTCACCTTCTGCTGGATAACTGGTTCATCTTAGTGGCTGCAGCACTTCTGTTTTTATTTCCAAACTGGAGCAGTTTGTTGGCTTCACTCAGGTTCTGGACGTTAATCCATTTGAGATCTTACAATCAGATACAGCGCACGTCAACTTACTGCCAAAGTCAAATGTAGCATTTGTATTCACATTTTTCACACCTTTCACGTAAGCATTTCCAGACCCGTCGTCACACACACGGAGAGAGGAGCGCTTCTTGGACTGGGACGGCTGGAGGAGGTCGTACACACACTCGTTGTAGATTTCAAAGAACGCCACCCACAGGGCGAAGTGGTCGCCACTGGCTTCTGCCGAGAGGAAACAAAAAAAAATAGTGGATGCCACGTGACAAGAAATAATTTTTAAAAATAGAGAAAGTGTTTGCCGCTGTCTTGGCAAACACGCATTGGATTTTCATGCCAGACTTGAAGATCTAATGTCTTTTTTTAATGAAAGGAAGCCCAAGAAAGGAGTTTTTAGTTGCAAATTGGTTGCAAAAATGAGTGTTAGTTTTCCCCAAGTTGGGTTCTACCTGTCAGATTGTTGGATGAAGAGGAAGATGAAAGAGTGATGTCTGGAGAGATTGAGGGCTCTGAACTACTGCTGAGACTTTGATGATCGCATTCCTGGAGCGCAAGAAAGTTGAAGTTATGACCATGCCGAGACATTGTTAGATGATTGGTAAAAAGTTGGAGGTAAATCTAAGGATTCACTTCCTTGACTGAACCAAGAATGGTCATTTTAGCAGTTCTCTCCTGCTTGACTTGGTCGGAGTCCAGAAATTGGGCCCCATTCATCAGATATGGCTTTAGGTCCATTCCCTCGTACTGAAGACCTCCGATGTAGCTAAAGACGGCATCCAACGCCCGTGGAAGAATTCCCGGATCTTTTGGTGTTCCTGAATTGATTTCAAAGCCTGAATTCAGGACTTGATTATTCACAGAGGGTCGGGTGCTTCCCCACTTACCTTGGATTGTGAAGGTTTTCCCAGCATTTGTTACGCCATAGGTGAATATCAAAGCATTTTCTCCTTCCAAGAAATCAAACACTTGGCTTCTCACCGTGTCCTCGAAGAGTTCGCCTTGTGTTGTCTGGGGTCCAAAAACCTAAAGGTAAGGAAAATTAAGACAAGTCTGATGCATAGATGTTGAAGGAGGTCCGGAGCTTGCTTGAAACCTTTGAGAAGGAGAACTTGTGGATCGACAAGCAAACTCCTTTCTCGCTGCTCTTCATAGTGGCAGATCCCTTGGGTGCGTTCAGAGTCACCGTCTGGCCATCGTCAATCACAACACAGTCCTGACAAGAGGCGAAAGGGGTATGGATTGGTTTAATAATTTTAAATTAACTACACTTAATGCAGTAGATCACAAGACTCTTCCACAAATTCTTAAAATCACCGTCAGGATCAACAGCACAAGATTAGTT